TATAGCATGGTCGTTTTTCCTTGTATTACGATTAATCTTAAGGTTCTGTTCACTGGAAAAAAATCGTCGGTATCATTGCATTGTTCATAGATTTTGTAATGATTACTATGATATTATTGCCTTCTTAATATGAAAATACACCATATTTTCTATATATTTTATCTTTTGCTTTACGTCCAATCGACAATTTTCAAAAAAATTATGTACCTCCTGCGGTGGTGTTGCTTCTCTCTTCACACAATGAATTATCTTGGATTCAGTACTTTGTTGAAAAAAAGGAAAACAAATTCTTTTAATAACCTGCTGGAAGGAATGCACTTTAGTAAATGAGGAAGAGGCACTTGCAATGAATAACATGAAAAATTCGGCTACACTGCCCCCATAGATCAGTTTACCGGAGAGTTCGAACGTCATGTTGACTCGTTAAAAGGAAAAGATAATTCTCATTTAAAATAAATAGTTATTGTATTATTACTAATATATAGTTGAATAATAGTATAGTAAAAATAAATAAACGTTACACTAGTGTCCCCAGATAACATTAAATATTCTTTTAACATATGCTGTAAGAAGGTATGTGAATATTCTAAATATCCATAGAATGTTCTATGAATATATCTGGCGTCTTCCAAGGATCTTCAGCAATCAATAAATATACTGAGACAAAATCGAACCAATTATATATACAGTGTGTTCCAGATCGGGTGGGATTGCATGGGTAACTTTCTTATTATTAAAGATAGAGAATTGGTTAAATGGACAATGTTTTGCAGTTTTAGATTTTAAAATTTCCTTGTGGAAATTAAAATGTCGAATAGGTTCGACGTAAATTAAAAAAAAACAACTAGAATTGGTCATTTCCTTTAATGTCTTATATCATCGAAAGTACAAGAGATATAAAAAAAGTTTTATATCAAAGTTTACTGTCTTTGATACGCCAAATTTAGAATTGATGTAAAAAAATTCAAGATGGCTACCTTGGAGGGACATCTACTTCCTAAAGTTAAATAGGCGCCATATTGGATTTTTAGATTACTTGATATATTTTTAAATTATCTTTACAACGAACTATGGGTAGGTATATCATAGCATAAGAATGAAAATAATAACATACCAGTTATATCAACGGCTTTCAAGTGGTCTGTGATGAATTTAAAAAAAAGCAAACAAAATCTATTCGAGGCAACAAAAGAATGAAAATAATTACATCAGATGTTTAAAATACTGGCCATTATTAGTGGGACACACTTCAAGACAGTTTACTTTAGGTAACGTGCTATATAACACGCTTTTAGAACGGTTTGGTTGTTGGTGTACGTTATTATTATTATAGTTGTAGCTACTTCCATATACCTAATTTATTTTTTAATGTACAATCTACCTACACAATTCGTGAATATATAACCTTGGCAGCCAGTTTGTTGGCAGGTATCATCATAAACCAACCCTCTCTGTGAAACATACGTTGTCTAGAAAATCTTCTAGTAGAATTTGTAAATAATGGTGAGCAGTTAAAGTTCCATCGAAGATTACCGGTCCAATTACATGACTTCAGATTATGTCATAAAATACATTAATTTAAAACTGAGAGGTTCCGCCCTGTATATACAACCATAAAGGTAAGTTCATAGCTCTCCGTTCATACGTTTCCGTTTGTCCGTTAGCCAATCAGAAGGCAGCAAATTTTTAAATCGTACGTCGTCCGTTTACGACGGAAAAGTTGGTTGAAGTTGAACATTTACGTTTCCGTTGGTCCGTTTTTAAAAAGAGTGAGGTTATGTTTGGTACGTTAACAGTGTTCGCCTATTCGTTCTTCACGGTGATATTCAGATAGCAACGTGTTCTTATTTTCGTATCATTTTTTCATACTGAAAATCACGGAGGGTACAGTACAAAATAAAATTTAGGTTATGGTTAGGTATACGTTGCAAATGTACAATGTGGACGGATTGCTATGAACCTTAACAAAATGTACTATCCGTTTGACGGATCAACGCAACGGATGAACGGAGAGCTATGAACCCACCTTAATACATATACAATGATACAACTTACGGCGATACATACATTTTTGAGAGTTGGCAACCATGCAATTTCTAGGTGGAGAAAAGCTGCCTGCGCCACCTAGAAAGCACGAACGGGAGTTACGTTTGGCATCTTGTCTGGAATGGCGGTCGTGAACGCGTCGCTCCATAAATGTTTGTTGTTATTTTGTGTTATTTAATGCAGGTAGTAATTTTTGCATTTCTTTATGTCGTATTTGTGTTTTGTACGCCGCATTTTATATTTGTTGTGTTTGAATATCTGTGTTTGAAATTTACGAGGTTTAACCGCAATGCAGAATCATATGTGTGTTACCGTTATGCTATTGTTTGTAATTGTTATAATACAACAATTTTATCTATAGGTACTTTTGAAAAATGAGGGTCAAGATGGCGGGAACAATATGGCGCGCGACACGTAATGTAACCATATATATGTGAATGTAACTCGCCTGAACTTCTTCTTTAACGTCATGTGCGCGGATACAGTGACATGTCACATAACGCCTTCAAAAGTCATTATAGCGGCCATACGATTTTAAGAACTAACCGAACTCACAATACCAATTTGAAAACAATCTGGCCAAAACTGTAGAAGAAAAACGCTCGGGGATGGCGCCGACCCCACATCATGTAGCCTGAGATACCCCAACCTTAACAACATCCTGTGAGTATGATTGTCGATACGAAACACCATATACATCATGTTAGTTACACAAGCTGCCAGCCGAAATCTGGTGAGATTACAGAAAAGGGAAAGAGAGCGAAGATGAGCCGGATGGAATTTCTCGGAAGACCACATGTGTTTACCATTTCAAACACCTGCAGTCCAGTTTTTTCCTAGAAATACGTGAAATGCAGGGAATGGGCGATTTTCGGGTGGTTTTTGGGGGTGTTAAGAGATCAATAAGTTACCTATCCTTTGGGCTAGTCAATAAATACAATTTAACATGTGTGTTCATGGTCTTTTTCTTGTAACCGGCTTAAGTGTGTGTAAAGTACGGCTTATCTTGAAATATTTTGTTATACCTTAATCATTGCTGTGTGCTTTTGCTTTTTATATCAGGTGAGGTATTTGCTTTATTCAATTAATCTATAAATGTGTGTAACTTGAATGCAGATTGTAACCCTTTACTTATGTACTTACTGGACTCAATCACTTGTACCTCTTAGTGTGTAACCTTTGTTGGTATTGACAATCATGTTTCATTGTCGGTAGGGCTGTATCTGTGCTGTACCTATTTGTGTATTGTGCTTTTTAGTCACTCTCGATTATTTCATTGCATTTCATTATATTTGCTTATTTGGGACTGTGAGTAATCAAGAGGAAAGTGTGCTTGTTTAGACGGGACCGAGTTATTCAAGTTTATACCGGCCTTGGTGAACCTAACACTAACATTTTCACTCGTTCCGAAACCCAACAACTTGAGCCCACGTCTACAGGCACCCCACTGGGCCTGGGTAATCCTACCGCCCGGCGAGGTATATATATATAATATGTCTTAGTTTTGTCTGATGTATGTGTTGTAATACCTGGGGAATGGCTAGAATGGTCGGCCTAAGGGTGGGCGTACAATTTCCGTCAAGCTGTCACATCAAATCCGCACGAATGCTCCACCTATAATCGGATGCAAAAAAATAAACACAGAAACTTCGAATAATTTATTTGACTAGAATCGAAAAACGGAGCATTATTTGGCACATGATATAAAAATTATTTTATCGAAATCGTTTTTTTTTGTAGCGAGTAAAAGCAACGTTGACAATAGTGATCTGAACGATAAACAATAAAATTGATAAAATAACAATTAATACAAGCTTTACATTTTCCTAAAACTGATCGCGTTTATGTACAACGTTAATAAAAAAATATCACAATGACGCCTACTCAGAAATGTACTTTAAGCAGCTGCAAAATCTGGCCAACCAAGCTCCGAATATCTTCGTGCGTTTTCGCATCGGCTAACAGGTCCAGTAAGTATTCGACACCCTTCTCCTCCCTTAGCATAAGGCAGTAACGTGAAGCTGAAAAAACGGGGCGATTAATTTCGTAACGCGTCGGGAAAGGCTTACGATTTTTCGTGCAGACGTGGTGAATCGCCCACACGGCCCACAGTTGTATCGGATAGTCCATCTCGGGCCTCATCAAGGGGAAAAAAGGTTTGAAACTTCGGTAGGCTACCATCTCGCTGTCGGGCACTTTCCATTGTGAAACGGCGTTGCGCAATTCGACTAGCATTTCGTCCCGAGTGAATTTATTGACGGACCAATAGAGGGGACCGTCCGATGCTAAATGAGCAACGATTCCCGCCGCGAAATAGCTCACGTCAATTAGATCCGATTTTAACAACGAATAAAGTTCTTCAATTAAGGAGTTCAACATCAAACTCATACGCAGCTTCTCTACTTCTGCGATATTATTTAAAAGACCTAACACTTTCGTTTCGATCGCGCTATCGAAGCGGAATGTTTTTAGTACGTTTAAAAACAACGTAGCCCCACCTTGCTCCAAAAATACTGTACACGTCGCCGCACTTTCATCCGTTAGATTCCACAAGGCGCTGAGCGTAAACTTCATCGTGATATCCGAAACTTTGGTTTCCATCCGACTTTGAACCATCGACAGCAGCTTGCGCATGTAGTTCGGTCGAGCGCCGAGCTCCGAGGTCTCGTCCGTAGACACTTTCGCGGCGAGTATGCTGCATATGGCGACCGCCATCCGGTTCATGTTGCTTCCCTCGAACGCGCACAGCGAGTCGAGTACGAGCTTGGCGCAACGGAAACGATCGAAGCTCACCTCCTGCAGGATGCGATCGCTGCAGAGCGTGAGCAGCGCGTTCTTCTGCAGCTGATACTCGTCCGGGAACTGCATCATCGCGTTCAAGGTCAAATTTACACCTCGACTCAGCAACTTCGGGTGTATCCGTTTCGAAAGCTCGCCGCGCGTCAGATTGTAAACGCAGGCGGTCGCCGCCATCTGCACGCCGAACTTCGTCGGATGCGCTTCCATGGCGGGAAGAACCAGCGCGAATACGTCCGGTCTCGCCTCTTGAAACGTGCTCGTCAATTGAAACAGGTGGTATAGCGCTTTTTGGACGTAATTCGCTCGCTCGTAATGCTTCTGCAGAGTCACCTATGGATTACATTGTAAATTAGCGGAAAATTAAACAGTACAAGACAAAAAGTTTAAATAATCCCGAAGCCGCCTCTGGCCGCCACGAAATTCGTTTCCGTGGTAAACGTGTTTGTTTCTTCTCTGCCCTACATTCAAATGGCCCATAATTTACAATAAAAGTTAATGCAGCTTCGACTAGGCGACGTATTCCTTATCCTTTTATTTTTACGTTTATTGCATCCATCTAGCAATTATATGATCGTGTTAGATTATTTTGCCAAAACAACGGCATTCCAGTACAGCATGGGTATTGTCATTTATAGCGCATTCTCAATACAAATTGCCCTTTTATAATTATGCTGATCATACTTTGAACTAAATGCATAGATACCTACGGCAAGATTCCATTATGTTCTCTAAGTAAATATGTTGTTTTCCAATTTATAGACTGGTTTTACCTGCCAACCAGCAATATGAATTCCTGACAGATTTACGTGTTTTTATTTATATTTAGGTACAGTATGTTCTCTTAGGGATGATAATCAATAGGAGTGTGCAGAATTAAACGATCTAATAAATATTATAGCGATTCGTGGATGATGCTGTATTTGGAAGCATCGACGCTACATTGTTAATCTATAATTAAATTTCTTGCGGACTATTTCCTTTCTTATGCATGAATATGCTACTGTTCATTTACAGGGTGCTTCTTCTTGGGGCACGTACGTTAGGTCGTTGATTGTTACATATTGCACTTGGTATTGAGAATTTATTATTACTTTATACTAATGTTTTGCCACGTTATTTATTTGAACCGGGTAATTATGATTATTAATATTTGGCAAGGTGACTTGTTTCGAATATGTATTGATACTGGGAGGCATTCCATACTCCCCAGACCCCCCGGTGAGGTGTTAACCCCCGAGGACTCTCTTGATGCTTTAAAAAGTACAAGCGAATCTTTTTTTCTTAACAAGTATTCCATACCCCGTGTCTCTACTGCCCACGGTAGATAACTATACTTTAATGACCTTGTTACAAGAGAGACAACACTTCTAAACGGCAAGTATGCATTATTCACTGTATTTATATACGCGATATTAGAACAATGGGTTTTTGTATTGTCTGTTTCTTTTCAAGTATGGCCTTGTGTAGGTGTATTCTGTATCCTATAACAAAACACACAAAAATCGTTATTTATGTACAGATTTTCTTGGGAAGAAGAACTCGTCGACTTCTAGTTTTCGCTATAAGAAAGCTTCCATCACTTTATTGCCCAATATCGATCTAAATCCTTATTTATGCACCAATTTTTTTGGGGAAAAGACCAAACTCGATTGCTCGATGCCCAAGAAATGTGTGTATCGTATCGACTTAAAAAGTTGGAGGTCATTTGTAGATCTCTCCTCGGATCTCTCTTATACCTGTACTACGTATTGCAGGTGGTAAAAAAGATAATAAAATGATTATAATACAGGGTGAGTTTTTTTTCATTGTCACCATGGGGATCTCGTACACGATGTAAAGTCACTTAAATGGGCAAAGTTACGCACACATACTAGACTATTATAAAACATGCTTTATTTTTGATAATGTGATTAGCTGAAACACACCATGTTGTTGTATTAATGTTCTTCGCGCAATTATTATTTGGTGTGATACAGGGTCACTATTAATGATGTAACGGAAGTTCTGACGTTGAAACCGATTGAGATATAGACATGAAAATTCTTTCATTTGAAAATATTTCACAAGAGATTAAAACAAGTATAAATTGTGCACAACTCTTGTGCAAATAAAGCGCATTTTTTAAAGAGAAATAGCTTTTGATTTGACACCAATGGATATACTCCTTGCAGACGTCTCAATCGCCCTTTATGAGTACCCTCTTCCGACAATCCGTTCTTGAGGTATAAGGGAATATACCCGATCACGATAAGATGTTGAGGAGGAGGGCTATGGTTGGAAGACCTTTCATTAGAGTACCATGAAGAATAAAACTAGTTCCACCCCCCTTCCCCTCGCCCCGTACTTTAATAATAATATTTATTGTCACCAACAGATTAACCAATAAGGGACAAGTAAGTTACAATGTACATTCACTAGAGGATAGAAAGAAATAAAACATGCTTTAAACAAAATATGATATCAACCAAAAATAAAGATAATTGTAGTAGATTATTCGATAATAATAATAATTAAATGAACATAAATAGAAGCCTTAAAAATTAAAAACTTTCATTGATGAGTTGTAAAATATTCTTTAAAGTAGTGTTAAAAAGGTCAACAGAGTTACAAATACTATTATAATAATAACACATCTCATAAATTGGGGAGTATTATTCGTTCGATATTTTGGCAACTTAAAACACAACTTTGATAAGAGATTGGTAGCTATCCATCTTCTAACGACTCAAAACGGGGTGAAGATTGATAAGAGGACAGAAAATAGGGCAGTAGTTAGTAGAAAACGCTTCCTTTCGTTGAGACCTTTAATTAGAATACAATGAGAGATAAAATTAATGTTTAACCCCCCCTCAAGCCCCATCGCTCACTGATCTCGAAAAAGAGTCACACGGGAAAGTTATAGTTTGTACAAACCAATTTATTTTGATGAGACCTGTCATTAGAATACCATGAAGGGTAGAACATGGGGACCCCCCCCATACTCTGAAGTTTAACTTGGCACCACTAAAGGCATGCGTATGCAAAATCTGAGACCAATTGGTTGTCATATGTAAAAGTTATGCACGTTTACAGCATCTCAGGAAATAATTCGTGGGGGCCCCCCCCCCTTTTAGACAGCGAAATTTGATGGCCGTCTGGCACACCTTCAAGGTAGAGGTTACCTACTGCACAAAATTCCAGGACTCTAGGAGCATTCCCCTAGAAGTAGTTCAAAACGGCAGAAGTGGGACCGGACGTACAAAACGCAAGCAATAGCACATTTTTTTTTAATTCTTAAAAATGCGCTAAAAACTAGTATATACCTTTTTTCTGTCTTGCATAGGTAGTAACATTCCAGAAAGTTCAACTTTTCATTTTCACCCTGTATTTCAGAAACAAATGTAGCTTCGCTGTTTGTAGTATTAAGCTTCACAAAAAAGTGGCACAAGGTCGTGAATAAAGGGGGAATATAGCAAGGGGGGGGAGGCACAAATAGGAGTTTGCTCAGCCGTTTCGAAGATACAGGGTGTTCTTTACGCAAACCTTTGCATACCCCCACCACTTCATTTTTAGAGATACAGAAAAAATTGTCAAACAAAAAAGATTCAGATTATCGTCAACTTCAAAGACCGGACATTTTTTTGTTAGGTTAATATGGCGGAATTCACAGAAAAATCACTTTTTTAGATTGCAGTTACGCCTCCTAGCGGCCATTGCAGAAACTTAAAAATATTTTCCAGGTTTTGCTCGTGGCCGTTTTAGTAATAACTTTTTTTACCGCAAGCCTCTACGATGGATAGGTTCTCAGATACAGTACCTCGCATTCTTATTTGGCCACCCTGTACAATATCTTAATGTTTAAGGTAATTCTCCATGCTTAGCAGGAGAACATAAGGGATCAGGACGGCGGTCTTAAACTTCCCCTTTTTGCTGTCTAAATAGACATGTTTTGGAAAGTTTTGTTTTTTAACAAAATTACAATAATTGTTGAAATGAAAACATGCAACATGTCGTGGTTAGGCAACACAAGATACATGTATGCAGATAAGCCAACACACTATTGTGCCGCTGTTGATACTCATTCACCCCACCATGTCTGACAAATGGAAGTGTTAGTAACCCCCCCCCCCCCACTCCCCCAGCCAAACCGCAAGAATTATGAAACAATGACAAACACAAAAAAAACACCCTGTATACGCAACTACAAGGGAAACCTCAGTCACCTTTATTTGGCTTTCGCTGCCGACACCAGCGATCACCAAATTTGGATTGAAATCGACATGCTCCGGATCGCAGTACTGCGGATCGACGACGATCCAATTCAGTACCAATCCCAGGTAGCGCAACTTGGCGTGCTTCCTCAAGAAGGCGTCCAACGTCTCCTTCGAGGCAAAGTCACGCCAGCCCGACAGTTCGAGCGAGACCAGATTCGGCAACGCCTCCTCGTGCTCGAGGACCTCCTGAATGCCACTGCAATCGGACATGTCGAGCTTGTCGCTCGACACGCTCACGTCCAGGTGTCTGAGACCGCCGAGCTTAACGACGGTCGACGCCAACGCCTTGCTCAATTTGAAGTCCTAAGGTGTGCACGTTATCAACGGCCTTGCAAATCTCGATACGTACCGCTAAAGTAAGGCTCACTAAGGTGTCGGCGTATTGCAGTAGCGGTGTCAAATCGTACACCGACGTGCCGGAAATGTCCAACTTTTCCAATAGTTTTAAATCGTCGCAAATTAACTTCAACGTCTGCTGATTAAATTCGGTATACGAAACGTTTAAGCTATGCAAATTCTTCAAGTGAGTCAACGCAATCATCAAACAGTGCCTTGACGAGTCTATAAAAGAACATTCGGAAATATTGAGACTGGTAATGTTTTGCCTCGACCATTCCCCCAAGCAGTCTAAAAACCTCGTATTAAGACACGGTAATCCGACGACAACGAACCTCACCTAAAATCTTGTTAACGCACACGCTTTTCAACCCCACGCACTCCAAGTGCACGATTTTGTGCTGTCGCAAAATTTTCAGACCCTCATACGTCAACTTCTTCGCATTCTTTATTTTGACGGTTCGCAAACGTGTGTTCTTCTCGGCGAACAAGCTAAGCGTCGAATCGGACAGCAGGTGCCTTTCTCCGAACTTCGATAGCAGGCTTTCGGATATCTCGTTAAATAAAAACAGGTCGCTATCTTTAAAGCGTAACTTTTTCTGTACGATCGCCTCGGACTCGACCGAACGTATCGGTGTGACGGAATTGGTTTCGTAATATAATTCGAAGACCCTTAGGATATTATCACAAATGAATTCTAAACAAATTTCTCGCAGGGTTGTGGGGCTGTCGAACATTTTTCGAAGTTGGCAAGTACCCTAAAATAATTACGACGTACTAAATTTGGTTTGGAGAATCCTTGTAATCGCATACTTATGTTGGAATACACGTAATTTACATTTTCGAAGATTTGCTGGAAAATTCTTCGCTTTTTCAATGAACGAAGTAAACACTTGTCATTTGTCAAAACTCAAAAATACAATGGGTTAGAGTGGTGGATCTGTTACCACAGGCGGTCGCACCGGTACAACAACCACTAACGCAAATTGCACCTTGCAGTAAGTACAGTGGCACCACTCTCAGAAAGTCCCTGACAGGGCGTGTCCGAGGGCGCTAGAAATTTAGACCGTACATTCTGATGCATATTTTAAAAACACTAAGGGAGTTAAATACCTTATCAGGATCGTAGATCCAAACTATATGCGTCTTGAAAAAGACGAGTTGGTATAAAACTGGAGACGGAAATAGTTATTTACGTTATAAGGCCGGGAAGTGGCTTATTAAAGTACGAGTTTAGATGTTTACGGACGAGGCGACGAAGCAGAGTTCGGAATTTCTAAACGAGTGCTTTAATACTCACTTCACGGCCCCACGATTTGTGGGAGCTGTTATTGCATATAACAACGTCACAAAGATTTCCATCTGGCATCTAATCCCCTATATACTTAAGTATCCAAAAGTAAATATTCAATCGAATTATAATAAGTATTCGTAATAGAGTCTTCAGCACTGTCTGACAATTAAGTACTTACACAGCTCAAATATAACTGTTAACGTCAAAGAAAATTTAAACACCAATCAAATGGGACTTCCGGATTCTCGATGACGCGTCTCTCTAAAGGCAACCTACTCTCTCTACTAACCTTGGGCGCAGGCAGCTTTTTCCCACCCAGAAATTGCATGGTTGCCAACTCTCAAAAATGTGTGCATCGTCGTAAGTTGTATATACAGAGTGGAACCTGGTTAAGTAAAAGTCAAATAAATAATCTACTATGAAACATTAAAGAAATAGCTCACAGGGTGTTTTTTTTTGGTAGATCCAAAGTTGCAAAACTTCATATTAAAAAATCTCACTTTTTTTAAATGGAACACCCCGTATATTTTTTTTTCATCTTTTAGCTCCTCCAAAAACCTTCAACTTTTGATAATAATGTCCTATACCTGTCTGATAGTTTTCGAAATATCTTGCTTTTTCTGGTTTTTATATTCTAATCTTAAATAAGTTATATCAAAGAGTATTGGTTATATGTAATTTACTTATTTACATAATAGTGAGGTGTCAATTAATTTATTTTTCAAACAATTTATTTTAAGTCCAAAAACTGGAGAATTTCTAGGAGGGGAAAGCTGTCTGTACCATCTGGAGAACACGAACGTTGGTTATATGTTTGGCGTCTGGTCATCGCTGGTGTTTAATGGCCGCCGTGAAAGCATCACTCGTAATAATTTGCTGTTATTTAATGCAGGTAGTAATTGCATTTCTTTATATCGTATTTGTGTTTTGTATGCAGCATTTTATATTTTTGTGAGTTTCAATCTTTGTTTTTGAAATTGACTTGATTTAACCTTGGCGGAATCACATATTTGATACCGTTATCCTTTTGTTTGTAATAGTTTACGTTTTGGTGTAATGCTTGCTTAATTTATGTTTATGTTTTGATTACATGGTCTTGACCAGAAGTAACATTCATATAAATCTTGATTATTTTATTTTAATATGTGGAAATTGCCAAGTTGTTTGTGTGTGTGTGATTCCGTGATTGTGTTCGAAATTCAACTGTAGGCTCGAAATCCGGAAACTAGGGGCGAGTTATCTATGTTGGGGGCAAGAAAACTGTTTATGTTTCCCACTTTTCATAAATCATTCAATAAACTTCCTTTTGCAAAGCGTCTAATTTGCGTTCCACCTTTTCAATAGTAAAACTTGGGTACGACGTACGACCTAGTCTATTACTTAGACTATGAAAGAAAGGAAAGGTCTTTTACAACGGTAGGGAATCCCGCCATTTTGAGGTTTGAATTAGGTAGGTGTTTGTGTTTTCCCGCTTTTTTCTAGCGCGGGACCTGCCGGGTTGGTTACATCACACAATTTTCTTCCGTTAGGTAAGCAGATGTTTCCGCTTCATTTTAAATCTATTAGGTAGGTTTGATTGAAATGAGGTTTATTTATTAGGGTAAACTTATTGAATAAGTGCATTTTACAAAGTAGATACCGGCACTAAATGTCAGAATCATATATATACGGTCAGAATCCGCACTTATTGGGAGTATTTAATTGCGTGTCATCAATCACGTAACGCTCTTGATTTGTACTTAGTTTCACAGAACCACTATTCTACTAATTATAAAAAATACCCTCGCTTGAAAAATAAACTACCAGGAAATTCATTAATTAAGAACTAGCAAATTTCCCAGATGTCTCAATAAAGTACAAGTGTGGGTATTGTACTTTGATATCATTTAGAATTTCACCTACACGTGTCTCACATCAGCGTTGGATTTTAATCTTATTCCAAGGAGCATATTTATCAATCCCAATCGGTGGGAAATTCGAACGAAACGAGTCGCTAAGTACACAGTAGCACAGATAACAAAAATAAGTGGCGACCCCATCGAAGAATCGTGCTTTATGCAAATATTGATGTTTACTCTGATTACTTTTAGCGACATCGCAGGGCGAATCACTTCCTTCTGGTGTACGTCGCTGATAAAAGATTGAGTTTTTCACGCGCTCTTTTTACTTTGAATGCCTTTTTAGCACATTTCCACAAAAACAAAAAAATGCGCTATTGTGGCCATTTTGTCCGCCCGTCTGTCCGTCCGCCCGTCTGGACGCTACTAGTTCTTTGTTCTACTTTTTTCGCTATTTCGTTCCTTATGGTGTCGAGACTTGCAGAAAAGAAGGAATTTTTTCCGCATTTATTGTTAAAAAAGTTATTGTAAAAAAACAAAAAAACCATTGTTTACAAGTTCCATAATTTTACATTTTTTGCCGTTTATTAACGATCCTCGAGATCGTTTATAATTTTGTATTGCTGTCTGTCGTCTGTCTGTTGGTCGCTGTCCGTCTGTTCCGTGTGAACGATAACTTTAGAAATGTCCGATTGCTTTGAAATTTGGTACCTACACATGTTCTTAGTTAAAAGTAAAATTGATGCTTAGTTAAAAAATTTGTTCAATTTTTTCCAATTTTTAAGGTATTTAAATGAAATTTTGAATGTAGGCACCTCGCATGCCCAGACCCACATTCGTTATTTGTATCCTACTTAATTCTTATAAAATTTTAGGGTAGGATTCTTCTTATAAACTGAAACTGAGGAGCACGTCAAAAATGGATTGCACATAATGCAACAGTAGTAAGAGACCAGTACTCCCCACTAGGTACTCCACTTTGACGTTACGGTCACGTGCTTTACGTCACCCCTCAAGATTGGTGATAAATTTGAATTTTTCGCGGGGAATTTGAATTTCCGGATGTCGGCCATTTTGCCGCGGGAAAGCGGCCATTTTGTCGCGGTAAATTTGAAGTTGTGCACGTGGTTTGTACTAAATTTGAATTTGTGCGGGAAATTTGAATTTTTTTGGCCATATTTATTCCCGGATGTCGGACATTTTGTTGCGCGGGTAAATTTCCGACATCCGGGAATAAAAATGGCCAAACATCCCGAATTACAAAAATTCAATTTTAGTACAAACCACGTGCACAAATTCAAATTTACCGCGACAAAATGGCCGACATCCGGAAATTCAAAAATTCAAATTTCCCTCGACTAATTCAAATTTATCACCAATCACGAGGCGTGACGTAAAGCATGTGACCGGGACGTCACAGTGGAGTGGTGGGGAGTACTGGTCTCTTACTACTTGCAACGCTATCTTTCTGCACATTTTCTGACCTGGACTTTGAAAATAAAACATGCACATCTTTCGCACACGACAGTCAATTGGTCTCAGATTTTGCATACGCATGCCTTTTACTGGTGCCAAGTGAAACTTTTGAAAAGGGGGGGGGGGTTAAACAACACAAGTTCTACCGTTCATGGTATTCTAATAATAATAATAATAATAGAGATTTATTGCCCAACAGAACAGACCTTCCAATTACAGGATAATACATAATAGTTAACGCGCAATGATTGAATGTAATAAGAAAAAAAAAGAAAAAGAAAGAAACACAACAAAAAACTCAAAATCTTAACATAACTAAACAACAACAAAATAATTAAATTCATATTTAAAAAAAAAACCAAATTAAATTGTCGAAATAAATAGATTTGTATAAACTATAACTTTCCCGCGCTACTCTTTTGAGACGAGTGAGTGACGAGGCCTAAGAGGAGGGGGAGAGGTAGAAATTAAGTTTATATTTTATGGTATTCTAATTAAAGGTCTCAACAAAAGAAACCGTCTTCTGCCAATTAACGCCCTTCTTTTTGATGGGGGTTGGAGGGAGGGGGAGTGGAACTGGTTTTATCCTCCATGGTACTCTAATGAAAGGTCTCAACGAAAGGAATTAGTTTCTACCAACCATAGCCTTCCTCTTCGACTCCTTATCGTGAACGGATGTATTCCCTTATTCAGAACGGATTGTCGGAAAAGGGTACTCACAAAGGGCGTTTGGGACATCTGGCAGAAATATATCCATTCCTCAAAACTTTAAGAGCGAATATCTCAAAAACGGTTTGTTGAAGGAAAGTACTCTCAAAGGCCAGATGTAAATCTCGATCTAACCCAACGGCGCATTTCGACCTAACCTAACCGATTAGAGGGGTCGGAATTAAGAATGGAGATAGAAGCCCAGAAACGGATGTCCCCAAACTTCTGAATACCACATTCGGTCCAGACCAGAAAATTTGTATTGTACGCCGAAAGACGTACTGCGCATGCGCAAAACTCAACTTTTCTATTTGTCAGTAAATGATTGGAGTACAATTAAAACAGAATCGTATAATATCATCTACAGCATGGAACAAAACGAGATAGCACATAGTATCCAAAACCGATTAGTATATTACACCGTGTAATGATCTTAGCTTACCTACTATCTTGGCGGGCTAACGCCAACTTCAAGTCACACCGGAATATTTGACCATATTCTGTAGTAGCGAGAATGCCAAACTAACATGGCTGCCTATTTGAATATTCTCGCTTGTTTCCCACGAGAATCTGTCACTCGGGGCCACTCCGAGTGCACTAAGATCGTGATCGTCATGTAGGACACCTACGTTGGGTTCTCAGTAGGCACTGAAGGCGTTTTATGGGCAAAGAACACCAAAAGCAATAGTCGATTAAGATTATATTGAAGCTAATACCAATACCAATACGGCGCCCCTGCAGAGGGTCTTAAGTGGTTTTTTTTACTACTCCGGCATTTACCTTAAGAATTAGGTGTTACAACACATACATCAGACAAAACTAAGAGATATTAAATATGCCTCGCCGGGCGTTAGGATTACCGAGGCCCAGTGGGGTGCCTGTAGACGTGGGCTAAAGTTGTTGGGTTTCGGAACGAGTGAAAATGTTAGTGTTAGGTTCACCAAGCCCCCCCTGTAAACTTGAATAACTCGATCCCCTCTAAACAAGCACACTTCCCTCTTGATTACTCACAGCCCAAATAAATAATTATAATAAAATGCAATGCAATAATCGGGAGTGACTAAAAAGCACGATACACCAATAGTGGGACACATGCAAATATGTACAATACAGATACAGCCCTACCGACACTGAAACATGATTGCCAATACCAACAAAGGTTACACATTACAAAAAACAAAAAAACAAAAGCACACAGTAATGATTAAGGTATAACAAATTATTTCAAGATAAGCCGTACTTTACACTTAAGCCGGTTACAAGCAAAAAAGACCATGAACACACATGCTAAATCGTATTTATTGACTATCCCAAGCGGCGCCGTAACTTGATCTCTTAACACCCCTAAAAACCACCCGAAAATCGCTCATTCCCTACATTTCAAGCATTTTAAGAAAAAACTGGACTGCAGGTGTGAAATGGTAAACACATGTGGTCTTCCGAGAAATTCCATCCGTCTCATCTTTGCTCTCTTTCCCTTTTCTGTAATCCCACCAGATTTCGGTTGGCAGCTTGTGTAACTGTAAATATAGGGTGCTTCGTATCGACAATCATATTCACAGGATGTTGCTAAGGTTGGGGCATCCCAACCGAAAAAATGAAAATACAAACGTAAAATATCCCATTTTCGGTGGAATTTTGTGTGAAATCAACTCACGCTAGCGAAGTATTAAAATGCGAAGCATATTTTCCCAGCCTATACGCTGAGTATGAGTAAAAAAGAGACTATAGATATATTGGTGCTTTTTTGAGCCGAATCAAAATTCTTTTTCTGTTTTTCACATTTTATAAAATTTCAACGTTCTTTAAAAACATCCCTGACTTCATTCTCACAAGAATCAAGCAAAAAAAGAACAAAAAATTGACAAACGGAGATCAATAACAAACTGCGTTTGCTAACAAAACGGCGGTAATAGGACCTATCTAGTTTCGGATAAATAAACAACATCTTCGCTTGAGCTTAGGTAATTAAGATTAGCAATAGGGGTTTACACTACTTTACAGTATAGTTGAATTCCGTAGTTCTAGTCTAATAAGCGTACACCTGAAACCATAAAACAATTTTTTGGACAGTAAAATTTTATTTAAAAATAGTAGCTGGTTGGAAAAAAAATAATGAACATGTGCGGTATTAGGGGTTTATTCAAAAACGAGATTATTGTGGCGGGCTCTGTGATGTAATGAGCCCGACCAATCAACTGCTACAACCATTAAGATGACATACGACTTGGCAATATTGCAGGAGATTGTCATTTGTAACTGGCGTCATCTGTCACACGCACTTGTCACTTGTTCACGATGAAAAAAATAAGGAATAAGAAATATGAAATAATAAATAAGGAATAAGAAATAAGGAATAACAATTTTCAATCTACTGATCTTTATGTATTTGCACACAACACTGAAATATGAAGTAAGCCTACGAAATAAGAAATAATAATTTCGTTCAGTCGAATTTTTATTCCTTATTTCATATTGCGAACCAATGACATTAGAAGAGGCGCGCACGCGTATTCTACATTCATTATTATTAAAATAAAACAAGTACGAGGTGTTTATTCACTTGTAACTTTATCAGCAATTTAATTACAAACGAAAAAATTCAAGTTTGGACAACTTACCAGCTGTATAATAATAACCAAATGACCAATGACCAATGAGGTTAGAAAACATTCGGTAAAGCACGCCATAAATTCAAACGGAATGAGTGTTCTGATTGGTTTATAGTTTGCTGCTATTTGTGTATTGTGTTTTGCTTGTACGGCGTCACTATTTCTTATTCCTTATTTTTTCATTGTGTGATGGGCTTTAGATGCATTTTAAATATGCCTATTAAAACGTCAAATCCGACAAACGTCAGACTCCCGCACAAGGTTGCCGGCTCACTTCTACGTGATTGGTTGTAGGTTTGTGACGCATTTAGACTGAAGCGTTTCAAATTCGGACCAAAAACACAGCTTTTCAAAAATTAGTTTTGGTTTTATTTTACTCGCATATTAAAATTGAGGACACAGGACTCTTTTTATTTTTATTGTACTTTGTAGATCAGAAACAGAAATTGAAGCCGGGAATTTTCACTTTCACTTTAGTAACTAGAGCAGTGATTTAACGCGTTTTACGTGGGATAAAGGCAATTGTGTAGGTGTAATTAAATTACTTCGATTCGTGTAAAATCTAATTTATTTTAAACTAACATACAACTTTTTGATAAGTACACAAGAGACACTTCCGAAGACGATAATTACAAATACTGAAACGCAGAAGTGCTCGAAAAATAAATTAATAATAAATAATTAAGGTTGATGACTAGAGATTGGAATTACCGAAATCGTCCGTAGCTGATGTTATTTATCGGCCTGAAATTTCGCGCGATTACTTCTCGGGAGACGTCCCCGAGGGTTAACGTACCAGCATGGGGTATAGGAAGGTGGAGATGCTGTCCTGTGCGAGCGTGTTGCGGGCGACGCACGTGTAGACGCCCATATCGTCCCATCGGATGCTGCGTATCCGCAACTCGCCGTCGCTCAAGATCGAGAGGCGACCGTCGGCCGTGCTGCTGACCACCCTCTCGGACGGGTCCAGCCAGAGGACGTCCGGCGTCGGATTGCCGACGGCCCTGCAGGGCAACGCGATGTCGCTACCTGGAAGCGCGGGGCGATTAGAAAGGGTGGACGGGGTGACGGGGTCTCTTACCTATGTTGTCCAGATAGATGGTGTTGAAGAGGACGATCCTTGCGGGGCTTCGCGCCGCCAGCATCTCGCTCGCCAGTAATTGCGTAAAATTCCGTGGAGAGGTGCCGCCGCGTACGACGTAGAGCTCCGTCTTGGTCGACGCGATCTGCGAGCCGGACTCCGCGAGGCACGTGAACGTACCTTCGTGGATCGTGAGCGCCGAGTTAATTACCAGGCGACTTTTTGCCTTGGCGATACCGTGCGATGGGTTATCGTTGATGGCGTTGGTTTCGAAACTTTCGTTCTGTATTAAGAGTGGTCGATTAGTAACGAGCGACAGAGGGATGCATGCCGAGCTTACTTCAGTTAAGGGTGTGTTGCCCTTAAGCCACTGCATAACGGGCGCAGGCGAGCCCATCGCCTCGCATTCCAATTCGATGCGTGAACCAAGTGGTCGACTAACAATCTGCGGCGGTGACTGACTAATTCGAATCCAATCGCGCTGTCTTCCGCTTATCATCCCCAGGCCCACGCCTACTGGATTCCCTAAGATATCGTTGTCAAGGTCATCTGATAAACGTCGACAATGGGTACTGTGAACCCATACAGCTGCCACTAATAATACTGATAGTTTCATCTATAAACAATGAGTCATTAATTTTAATTGAAGTCGTGCAGCAGCGCACGTTGGACATTGAATGAATGTAGTAAAAGATAACGCACCCGTACTAATCTAATCTTAGAGGAAAAATACCGGTCTTTAAGCGCGCGCTAAAAAAATTTCGCGTTTATCAATGGGAGTGACGAAATTCTCTCCCAGATTAGACGAGCCATGGCGGTTATCTTTTACACAAAAAAGATAGTCGAGTAGAAATCGAGGTACTTACCATTTTGTAGTTAGGCTTGATACTGATGCAGATTGGGTCGTTTCCTATCTTTATATACACACACAGATACCAACTCTCCAGCATCTTGTTTTCTCCTTCTTCGGCAGGAAAGCCCGCTGCGTCGCGACGAGGATAATAGTTTTATTGGGGGTAGAAGCGGCGAATTATAATAAACCAACTACAATATTAAATAAATTGCGGTTATTAAAGCCGCAATTATAATCAAGGGGTGTATTGTCAAGAAAGGCGCCAAACGTCTATACGTGCACCTACTTTAAATTTAATCAGATAAGCTTGGATAATTAACCCAAATTGAAGTTCGATTTATATAGATTTTTGCCGAAATGCGCGTTCCAATTACTTTAAAAGCGAAACGGGCGCTTTTCTTTCATTCCCGCAACGCCGCCGCCGCCGCTTTATAAGGTTTCAATTTCAGCAGTTGAAATGGAAAACATAATTGCTCCAATTGATCTAATGCCCACTATGCGATCTTAATGAGACAAGCAGGGGTGAAAAATAACCTTATCGATTTCTTATTTTTATCCGGTACATGTTTTTCTTGCGCGAAATTTGAAACCACAATTTCATCAAATTGATCACCTCTATATCAATTCTCTTCTATTCTATGATTAATATCTATTTCTGCGTAGATAACATTATACAATTCCTAAATAGTTCAACTATAGCGCGTCTGTCAATCGACAGTATCGGTCATGGTCAACTGATGCTTATGATCTACCGATGGACACTGTATAATGCATTGTCAGTGATTCCATTCCAATTAGTCCTTTAAACCAGCGAAAAGCTGTTTGTAAGGTACTAGTGCTTTAATTTATAAATAATAAGCGGGACCAATGCCTTTTTTGTCATTTATTCAATGGCTCGTTCTATTATCTTAACCAACAACGTGTAGGTACTGATTTAAAACGTCACATTTTACCATGTTACTTTCAAGAATTTTAAATATGAACCAACAATAAGGATAATTTATAAGGAATCGTCGTCAAATGCATAATTATTTCCAAAGTGTTTAATTGTGAACAGTGCAATTACCTACAGACAACAAAAATGTAGGAAATATATACGTCATTCTTTAACACACTCCGCTTTGAATCACTTTCTATCACTGACGCTATCAGCAAAGACTAACCATAATACTCGAAACCCCGAAACCAGGGGCGGGTTACCTATTTTGCAGGCGCGGGATTACGCTAATCAAAGCTCTTCAGTTTAGAATCTATGTGCGATAAATGAGTGACGATTCAATAATTTTCACATATCTTGATTTTAGTTAAATTTGCCTACAAGGCCATTTTGCTTTTAACAAAAAGACTATTGCACCAAAGATGAGTCACATCCTGTGTATTTCACCCTTTCTTAGAATCTTGGTATCTGCTTACTTGACCCATAATTCCCAAAACTTGTTTTAAACCTCTATGTTACCTCTTGAAGTTTACCTGCTACTTTTTGTGATGTTATAATTTTATGTTACGGATTCACATTATTACAAACAATTAATTTTACAACACAATTTGATACTAACTTAACGGCTGGTTTTTTTATTGGTAAGTTCTTTTTTCCCCAGCCTCTATTATTTTATTCGGTGAACTACCATTTTCAAAGTTTATTTTTGCAATGTAATTTATTGTCTACAACTAACGTAAGGGGGTTCTGCCTTAGATGTTTGATCACGTGCCACTTTTCAAATTTAAGCGGGATCTTGTTTAGTTTTGGAGGGAATAGTCATTCGGGTGGCCATTTTTAAACGTTGCCGGGTTTACTTTATTTCCGTGCGCTTGTAGTGTGAAGTTAGCGTAGAACCTGGGGGTTAAAGTATCCTTATGTTTAGACAACACATCTCACAACTGAAACAAGTTAAAAAGTAATCGTAAACGATTTACATAAAGCGCATTTCCACTTGCATTCATTTCCCATTTGTAAGATGCAACTTCTTTTAAAATCGTAAAAATCCGGCCACAAATATGAAAGATAGCGTTGCACATGGGCAATCCATTGTTGACGTGCTACTTCAATTTCAGTTTATGAGAAGAATTTCATTTCAATGCTTTTCTATATAACAAAGTTGGAACTGCGCATGCGCAAACCTAAATTTTAAAACTAATTTACTATAACTAACTAATAAACTAAGATTTTCCTTTGTACCAAGCGCCTAAGTATCAAATTTCACTTAAATAGTTCCATAGATAAAAAAGTTGGCACGGCGCATGCGCAAAATAAAATTTTGAAACTGGCGCTAGATTTTCCTTTATTCCAAGTGCCTATGTATCACATTTCACTTAAATAGTTCCATAAATAAAAAAGTTGGCACTGCGCATGCGCAAAACCAAATTTTGAAATTGGCGTTTGATTTTCCTTTATCCCAAGTGCCTATGTATCAAATTTCATTCAAATGCTTTTATAAGTAAAAAATTTTGCAATTCGGTTTATAAATGGTCGAGATGCGAAAAGGGCACTGTGAATTTTGAATCGATTCGATCCAACTTTTGGCATTGCGTATTATATGGCTAAATCTATGCCCATATTGAATTTCATGCAATTCAGTTCATAACTAACGGAGATGTAAAAGCGATCGAACATTTTTAAACAAAGTTATCGTTCACACGGACAGATAGATGGACAGACAGACAAAGGAACAGACGGAGAGACCAACCGGCAGGCGACAGATAGCAATGCAAATTTATAAACGATCTCTAGGATCGTTAATAAACGGCAAAAGTGTAAAATTATGGAACATGTAAAAAACGGTTTTTGTTTTTTTTACAATAACTTTTTTTGTAAGCGGTACAGAAAAAATTCCTTCCTTGGTACAAGACTCGACACCATAACGAACCAAATAGCGAAAAAAAGTAGAACAATAGCTCTTAAGATAAAAAACTAGTAGCGTCGCAAAGTTAGCGGACGGACGGACGGACGGACGGACGGACAAAGTGGCCACAATAGCGCATTTTTTTTTTATTTTTGTGGAAATGCGCTAAAAATGGCAGTATGGGAGAGAAAAATACGAAACGCCCTGTGTATAAAACAAAGCATGAAATCTTGGACTTTGGCCGTTTGGCGCAGTTGCGGGGAACAGGAATTTGCTGGTTGAAAGTTAGCGTCGATTCGGTTTCGATATCTTGAGTAATATAGTCTTTGTAGTGTACTTAACCCCCAGGTTCTACGCTAACTTCACACTACAAGAACACGAAAATAAAGTCAACCCGGCAACGTTTAAAAATGGCCACCCGAATGACTATTCCCTCCAAACGTAAACAAGATCCCGCTTAAATTTGAAAAGTGGCACCTGATTAAACATCTAAGGCAGCGCCCCCTTACATTAGTTGTAAACAACGCTATGACCTGAAGTATAGTAGGGAAAGAACGTAAAATAAAACACTGAAATTGTGACAAGTTTGTTTAATAATGGTCGTTATTATTAAGTTCGGAAATTTAGCGAAAGCAAGCAAAGCCAAAATGTGTCACACTCGCAAAAGTAACTGCCCAGGGTAAAAAGAGTGCGACGGAGAAAAACCTCCCAGCAGAGGCACAACTAAGGGGGGTTAAGGTAAGTTCATAGCTCTCCGTTCATACGTTTCCGTTTGTCCGTTAGCCAATCAGAAGACAGCAAATTTTTAAATCGTACGTCGTCCGTTTACGACGGAAAAGTTGGTTGAAGTTGAACATTTACGTTTCCGTTGGTCCGTTTTTAACAAGAGTGAGGTTATGTTTGGTACGTTAACAGTGTTCGCCTATTCGTTCTTCACGGTGATATTAAGATAGCAACGTGTTCTTATTTTCGTACCATTTTTTCATACTGAAAATCACGGAGGGTACAGTACAAAATAAAATTTAGGTTATGGTTATACGTTGCAAATGTACAATGTGGACGGATTGCTATGAACCTTAACAAAATGTACTATCCGTTTGACGGATCAACGCAACGGATGAACGGAGAGCTATGAACCCACCTTTAGCCGGGTCCCTGAAATGCCCCAACCTTAGCAACGTCCTGTGAATATGATTGTGGATACGAAGCACCCTATACCTCATGTTAGTTACACAAGCTGCCAACCGAAATCTGGTGGGATTACGGAAAAGGGAAAGAGAGCGAAAATGAGACGGATGAATTTCTCGGAAGACATGTGTTTACCATTTCAAACTCCGGCAGTCCAGTTTTTTCCAAGAAATGCGTAAAATGCAGAGAATGAGCGATTTTCGGGTGGTTTTTAGGGGTGTTAGGAGATCAAATTACAGCGTGGCTTGGGGTAGTCAATAAATACGATTTAACATGTGTGTTCGTGGTCTTTTTCTTGTAACCGGCTTAAGTGTAAAGTACGGCTTATCTTGAAATATTTTGTTATACCTTAATCATTGCTGTGTGCTTTTGCTTTTTATAGCAGGTGAGGTATCTGCTTTATTCAATTAATCTATAAATGTGTGTAACTTGAATGCAGATTGTAACCCTTTACTTATGTACTTACTGGATTCGATCACTGGTATCTCTTAATGTGTAACCTTTGTTGGTATTGGCAAGAATTTTTCATTGCCGGGAGGTGTACAGAGCTTAGGGTGGGTGAGTAAAACCACAATGCCAAAAAACCCAAAACTGATTTTATTGCCGGCCGTGAACAAGAAAACTAAAACCAGGCAGCGCGTTCCCAAAATTAACAATTTTGTCCCAGCCGCAACCCACAGGATTTAAGTAGTCTTAACCGCGACGCAACAACAAATCAAAATGAGCTCTCTCACAACCAAACCAAACACGCATGTCACCTGAACATCAAACCTTATCAACATTAGTCCACGGGCGTAATTTTAAAGCTTACAAGTGGCGTTCATTCTCAAACGAATAACTAAAATAACTATTAATTCTAACGTGCAAATTAATATCCTGTACAGAGGGCTGTATCTGTGCTGTACATACTTGCATGTGTACATATTGGTGTATTGTGCTTTTTAGCCACTCTCGACTTTTTCATTGCATTTCATTATATTTGCTTATTTGGGGCTGTGAGTAATCAAGAGGGAAGTGTACTTGTTTAGGTGGGATCGAGTTATTCAAGTTTATACGGGCCTTGGTGAACCTAACACTAACATTTTCACTCGTTCCGAAACCCACGTCTACAGGCACCCCACTGGGCCTGGGTAATCCTACCGCTCGGCGAGGCATATTTAATATCTCTTAGTTTTGTCTGATGTATGTGTTGTAATACCTGGGGAATGCCTCGATTCCATTTTGGTTACTCATAGCCTGCATGTAGTATTTACCCCGATTTCGAGAGGGCTCAAAAGTGCTGTACATTAGATGTTAGCTGTAGGCTTTGTTCATTGTAGGACTACTCCAAATTAGGTTTTCCTGCAGTTTTCCTAATCCGTAAAGTAAATGCCGGAGTAGTATAGAACCACTTATGACCCTCTGCAGGGGCACCGTTTTGGTATTAGCTGCAATATAAACTTAATCAACTATTGCTTTTGGTGTTCCTTGCCCATAAAACCCCCTCAGTGCCTGCTGAGAACCCAGTTATTACACAACGTAGGTGTCCTACATGACGATCACGATCTTAGTGCACTCGGAGTGGCCCCCGAGTGACAGATTCTCGCGGGAAACTTAAGCGAGAATATTCAAATAGGCAGCCATGTTAGTTTGGCATTCCCGCTACTACAGAACATGGTCAAATATTCCGGTGTGACTTGAAGTTGGCGTTAGTCCGCCAAGGTAGTAAGAGGCTAAGATCATTACATCTCCTCACCCACCTCCGAACAATTTGGCACTGTGGCGCCTTTTTTGAAAATATTCTAAAGTGGTAATTAGGGCCAGGGCGGCGCCCTTTTGAAAGTTTTTCATTTTGAGTCTTTTTTTCTCTTGACAACGATATATGACACATATCTAGTGGTTCAGTATCACATTTTACAATTTTCATTTTCTGCGAAGAGTGCTTTGCAAAAACAAAACCTTCTTTTGTTGTGAACAAAAGCTTGACTTATTTCAAGTAGTGTCATTTACGTTTGTGCTAGTTTTATTGAAAAATATTATTTATTCTTATGTATTTTGTTCTAATTTGAATTGTAATTTTCTTGCAAAATGAAGGTTCAATTTTGGTCAGATAAAAATCAAATTTTCTCAACACAACTAATTCCCTGCCAATGCTGCAACCAGACAGATGGATCAAACTGTCAAACTTTTGTTGACAATAAAAGAACGTTTTGTTTTTCCAAAGCACTCTTCTCAAAAAATCAAAAATTGTATTTTTAGGAAAAATGTGATACTGAACCACCATGTTGTAAAGAGAAAAAAAAACGTGTAATGGTCCTAGCCCACACGGAAAACGTTGACTTACCCTATACTTACCGTTGGCAACTCTGGGAAAAACTAGAAGCAGAGCCATCTACTTTTCAAGTCGAAACGATGAACATTTCGCGGCACTTTTGAATTTGGATGGCAGTCGGCTAGCTATGGGTGGCACGAATGAACTCCTACGTAGTGTAATCGGTTCTTTTATGTGTTGGGACGTGGGAAATAAATAAAAGACAGAACTTTTGTGCGTAAGAAATGACAAGAACAAATAATTAAATATAGTACGCACATAACAAGACCATACCAGGGAAACCTACGGGACAAAAACCCTGGCATAGGCCACACAAATACATTAAATAAACCACCTACAGCAATAAAATGCAATAGAAAATACACATAAATAAAACATCTCAAATTGTATGATAAAAATCAGATAATCAAATCAAATGCAATTAAACAAGTTCATAAAAACAAAATACACAAGACATCATAAATGCACTGGAAAACTTGATAAATCAATTCAGTACAAAAACACATCAAAATACATGTACAATCAATTGAGATAACACAACTCGTAAAATAAATAAATGTACATAGGAAACATGTAAATGGTGTGACTCTACTCCAGCCTTCAGTTAACATAAATTAATTGAACACGCAAAGTACATGTGAGAATCCAAATAGCAAGTATTCATGTGAAAATCGATTATCGCTCAAGCAGAACATATTTTAAATAGAGGAAATGTTAAGGAGAGGGCCTTTAAATATCTCGCATTGCTAAGATGCCAAGAACTGCAATCCGCACGAGACGAGTAGGCAACAGATACACCGAACGGTCGAACTGTACTAGGTACCTGCTCCACGGAGACATGTTGAACCACTCGCACACACAAACATCGAAACATCAAATAAGAGAGCTCCCCTTCGTATAGCTAACGCACAAGAACTGTAGCGCGCCACGAATCAGAAGGTAACAGATACAGCGAAACAATCAAACTGTATTAGGTACTTCCCTCACGGAATAGTTACGATTCAATCGAACAGCGAGCAACATCGCACTGATAATCAACTCCTCGTGAATACAGAAATAAACACTTAATAAAACAAAATAATGGCATAATCACCTGTATAGTATAACACGATTCATCTAACGGTACTCAAAAACAAAAGCATGGAGTATGCCATATTTATGATATCGCAGTTTATGCAAAATCAGCAAAATGTAAATAATATCAAATTGTGGCAAAAAATTCAATGATTAAATAGCTAGTACAAGAAAGAATAAAATGGTTACTACCTGTATAATTACACCTTCAAAACACCACAACCAAAATAATCAAGAATAAAAAACGGGATCGCGTGATGCCTTCCGTTGACCCGCCATCTTCTTTATTCTCCCATACCTTGGTTACGAAAATCCCGTAGTATCCGGCATTTGCGCAAAACGGTCGATTGGTTATATACAGAGCATATCATATTTTTGTTTCAGATGTAAAGGTGTATTGCCTAACTATAAGGGTGGATTATTACAGACGTAATCTCAAAATGTCAAAATTCAAAATGGCGCCCATAAAAAAAATTAAAGATACCACGTGTTTCTCCGTCATTATAAAAGTTATTAAAAACGGGATGCCATATTCGAAATCTCCATTAAGATGTCTCTGAAAGAACGTACAGTACATGGACCACTCGGATCGTGTAAAGAGTAGCTTTTATAGTTACCGCGTAGTACGGGAAGCTTTAAATCTTCTAAATGTCCACAAATAAATAGGTTTGCTTTTTTTTGTGAGTGGCTTCCAACACTTCCTCCTTGAGACAACAAGATTGCTATCTTTTTTATCAATTTTAGTTTATTACAAAGTGTGTTACATCCTCTTTCTAGAACTTTTAACAATCTACAAAACAATTTTCGAATTTGCATAATTAGGTTTCAACTCAACCGTATTAGTAGAGATTTAATAATTTTTGTGTAACCGTATTTTTCTTATTGTATATTCGTAAGTCGTACAGAAGATAAAATATAAGCTTTCCAACGATGTGTTGCAAGATCTATGCTGCCATTAAAAAAAATTGCCGGTCGTGTCAAAAAACCATACGGGACATAAATTGTCTTTTCATGCTAGAAACCTTCAAATCGATATCTCCAACCGTTTTCACACCAGCGCTTTGGTTCCATTTTTCTTAACCACTCTGTATAAATGGAGCAAACATTTATAGCAAAAATGGTGTAACGGTGTCAAATAATAAAAGTTAACGGCATTTTCCACACACGTAATGCAGCATTGAGGTTAAATCATGCCAATTTGAAAAACAAAGGTTAGATTTAGACTGTTTGGTTTAGTTTGTGATTCCTAATCAGGATCGGTAACACACTTTTATGATCACCGTGTAGATACCAACACTACAGATGTAGGATTAATGTCCGTTTGTTATGTTGGCAACGCCGCATATAACTGTCAGTCACGTATGCACAAATGACGGATTTTAATTTGATAACAACAAACAGAACTGTGTTGATAAGCAATGACTGATGTTGCGGTAGACGTTTCGGGTAACATTGAAGTACCCCCCGAGAAACAGTCGATACAACCCTCGAAGTAAGTCCCACCGAACCTTTACCATATAAATCGTACCCTTTTTCAGATTTCTACCGTTTCCCACGCAACTACCTCAAGCGAAAGAATGGGTACAGCAGCGACGCCAGAACATACGTCCATGGTTGCAGTTCGTGCAGACTTCCAACTTCAAATTTCCGCAGTCGTTACCGAGATTGAGCCGACGGTATATGAGAAACATAGAGTACTTTCAAAGCAATTACATATTCGTTTTCCTGATACTTATAGCGTATTGTCTGTAGGTACTCGTCTGGACGTTAAACGTACTGTCTACAAGTGAGATGTTTTAGGATCACATCGCCCTTATTGTTATTTGCGCTCGCCGGTAGTTTCTTCGTTGGCTATAAATTGTCGATGCGCCATGCGGAGGGGAAGAAAGTAATAGTTTTCGGACACGAGTTGGCTCTGGCTCAGCAATTTGGTATTCTCTCAATATGTTCAATGCCGGTGTTTTATATCGTTGGAGCTGGTGCGGCGATGTTTTGGGTTTTAGGTGCATCGTTTTTCCTAATTACTTTACACGCAGTATTTTACAATATCGATGCTGTTGTTGAAGATGAAAGCAGTTTCGGTTTAATGGAGAATGTTTAGATCTCTAATTGTAAATATTTGTAATTGTTTTATATTATATTGTAATTATGTATTGTAGTTTTCTCATCATTTTTATGATTTTGTAAATTCCTAATGTTTATTCATTACTGAGTGAAGACGGGTGGCATCTTCATGGTGTATAAATAAGGTTCTTGGATACGAAAGATGGAATTGTGATAATCCACCCTTACGGTTAGGCAACACACCGTTGCATCTGAAACAAAAATATGATGTCCTCTGTATATAACTAAACGACCGTTTTGCGCAGATGCAGAATAGTAGAGGATTTTCGTAACGAAGCTAGGGGAAAAAAGAGCGTGGCTGAAGAGGAAAGATGGCGACGGAGTCGTCGGAAAGCATCACGCGTTCCCGGATTTTATTCTTTATTATTTTGGTTGTGGTGTTTTGCTCGTAGTTTTTTCCGAGTTGCCAACGGTAAGTATAGGGTCAACGTTTTCAGTGTCGGTTTGATAGACCCCTAGGACCATTACAGAATTATATAAAACTTATTTAAATGAATAAACAATCATTTGTTTAAATAAATTGATTTCATATATTAAAAAAATCTACTAGTTTTGTGCTTATGAAGAGATGGAGAATAATGTATTTTATTAGATACAAGACATGACAGCATGTAATAGTTGATTACAACCCTTAAGCGGGTTAACCTGAAGTCGCATCCCCATAGAAGTTGCCTTTATTGAAAATTCCCCTAGGTCAAGACGCGCATTCATGGTATAGGAAGTTACAGCAATTGGCAATGGCCCAAAAGGTGTAGATGAATTTTCTTTACGATCCTGCCAGATCAATTGGAGTTCTGTACTGGCCGTATACGACTTCAGCGTTCCTTAGAAGTTAAGGTGGGTCTTTGTTGATAATGGATAAATTACTTTGGAGATAGGAGTTCGGCAGTGTCAGCGAGGCGTCAGTGGAGTATTTTACTTCGTGCTTTGCGCCACATTAATTGGCTATCGCCCAAGTCGGTGATAGAAAACAATGTACATGAAAAATGAAACGGTGAGTACGATGTTACAAATTACCCATTGCGCTTATTGCAAATGAACTTAGTTTGCTTTAGTTTTCCATAATTTGTCTAAATTTTACTTAGAGACCTCATTCTTCGTCTGGTTTACACAAAAAATGTAAACAGGCCCGCTTGAAATGCTAGTCTTGTATTAATACATACAACAACACCCCTAGGGTTGATACGGTGCGTTTGCGATTAACGTATTCTTAAAACGTTTTTTACACTTTATTTGCCGCTATGCTTCCACTAACTTTTACTTTTTTAGCAAAAATAACTTGACCGCAATTAAAAGCAGGTTGTAAAACCAAGAACTGGTTGGGGTACTAGCAGGTAGCTGTGCAACAGGTGACTGATCTTTGGTGCAATAAAACCCTTTTGTTCAAATTAAGATGGAATATAGCCCTGCTGGCAAAACCAAACAAAAAAAAAACGTGTAAGAATTAATGAGTCGTAACACATATCGCACATAGAGCTTCTGTTATGAGGATCTCGCCCCCGAGATAGGTAACTGGTCCTTCGTTCTGGGAATTGAAACCTACAGTTAAAAGTCGAGGTCAGTCCCTACATAAAGTGTCGTAACTAATGTTTTTTAACAGTATATGCCACACGGTTGGTTTGTTTCGTACACCCTTAAATTGTATATAATTACTGGTTACTCTATGCATAACACTTTCTTTTCTTTTTTATACATTAGGATTTTACTTATTTTAAAACTGCGGTTGTAGTTGAAGTTTAACCCTAATACAAGACCGTACCGTCCCGTCAGAAATGGTAATTGCCGAGAGCGTCCAAAAGCATTTCGAATCACGAAGACGTAATACTGATTACTGAGAGTCGGGTTCTTCGCGACGCATATCATACATTATGAGAAACCTCTCTGGCAATTGATAAATATTATTTTTCGTAATATTGTCTTTGTAGTGTACTTAACCCCCAGGTTCTATACTAACTTCACACGACAAAAACACGGAAATAAAGTCAGCCCGGCAACGTTTAAAAATGGTTACGTTAGTTATAGACAACGCTTTGACCTGAAGCACAGTAGGGAAGGAACGTAAAATAAAACACTCAAATTGTGAAAAGTTTGTTTAAATTATCGCAATTATTAAGATTGTAAAAGCTCGGAAATTTAAGTCGAAATAAATTACATTGCAAAAATAAACTTTGAAAATGGTAGTTCACCGAATCAAAATAGAAACAGGCTAGGGAAAAAAGAACCTACCAATAAAAAAACCAGCCGTCAAATTAATATCAAATTGTGTTGTAAAATTAATTGTTTGTAATGATGTGAATGCGTAACATAAAATTATAACATCACAAAAAGTAGCAGGTAAACTTCAAGAGGTAATAAATAGGTTAAAAACAAGTTTTCGGAATTATGGGTCAGGTAAGCAGGTACCAAGATTTTAAGAAAGGGTGAAATACACTCATCTGTGGTGCAATAAAGACCTTTTGTTAAAAGCAAGATGGAAAATTACATGGCCTTGTAGGCAAATTTAACTAAAAACAAGGTATGTGGAAATTACGAATTGTAACTCATTTATCGCGCAAAGATTCTAAACTAAAGAGCTTTGATTAGCGTAATCCCGCACCTGCAAGATGGGTAACCTGCCCCTAGTTTCGGAGTTTCGAGCTTACAGTTGAATGTTGAAGACAATCATGAAATTAGGTGTCGTAACTCAATTTTGACTACAGTTTTTACCATCCCTCATGACTAGCTGCTTCATTCGCGGAGAAAATGGTTAGTTACAAACAACAAGTCAACAAACGAATCGGTAATTTCCACATATTAAATTTAAATGAAAACTTATATGAATGCAACTTCAGGGACCAGACCAAGTAATCAACATCAATAAACATAAATTAAGCAAGCATTGTACCAAAAACGTAAACAATTACGAACAATAGCATAACGGTATCACATATGTGATTATGCATTGCGGTTAAACGAATTAAATTTCAAAAATAAAGATTCAAACACACACAAAAATATAAAATTCGGCCTACAAAACACAAATACGATATAAAGAAATTCTAAGATTACTACCTGCATTAAATAACGCAAAATAACAACAAACATTTATGGGCTACGCTGTCACGACCGCCATTCATAACAAGATGCTAAACGTAACCAACGTTCCTGCTTTCTAGACATTGAACTATATACTCTGTGTATATAGTTCAATGTTTCTAGATGGCGCACTTTTCCCCTCCTAAAAATTGCATGGTTGCCAACTCTCAAAAATGTATCTATCGTCGTAAGTTGTATATACAGGGTGAAACCTTTCATCTTTAAAAAAATATATTCAGAAGCCGAGCATCTAACGCCAACTGACGTAAGGAGGACACCTCGAGTTCAGAAACGGACACTTTTGACCCCCTGAAAGTGAATAGCGTTTTCCCGTAACTTCGGGTTCCGTCGAACGGGCGAGTTTTAAAAAAATTTCCGGTCCCAATTGTGTTGCCATTTTTTAAGCCTACACCATTCGTCTATAGTGTGTAGTCAATGGGAATAGGTAGGTGTAAAAATAAACTATTAATTAATTAATCTTCAATTCTAAAATTATTTTAGAATAATCACCCCTAAAATTCAGTAGCAACCCCCAACGCAGTATCAAAACCCAGTACTATACCGTTGTCCATTTGCCATTGTTACCTTTCTACTTTCCCCCCTACGTGTACGATAAGTTGCCTATTGTACAGGTACAAACCAAATTATCGAAAAAGTATCAAACAATAACAAATTAGTAATCAATCCTCCTCTGCGCCGGTTACGGATTTGGACACAAAACGTTTACCGTCCCACGGAGATCCTGGAATCGAGTCAGGGTCATTTTCATCCGGTTGCTTTAGATTTCATTATTGTTTTCGCACACTTTGCGATGAATCAAGAACGTCCTCTATAAAGTGTTTCATAATTCGTCATTAGAGACAAGGTTGGCCGATTTGAAAAATTTCGCGCGTCAAAGAAATGGGTCGCGTTCGCCCGAAAGGCCAAGGATCATTTTCGAAAAATCTTCGCCCGTCGACCGATCAAAACAACGTACCTATACAAGTAGCTCGTTTAATTTACATAATCCAATTCATTAATGACATTTTAATAAAGAAATATTATTCTCTTCAATAGATGCGCGAAATAATTAGCTAGAAAAATTTAATTAGCTTGTTTGTGTCATTAATTATAAACACGGATGTTACAACAAAGCACGGACGTAGGTAGGTCTAGAAATATTTTGGCGACTGAAGCTGAAGGGAATAGGGATGCCACCCACCCGCGAGAATACGGATATGGTCACGAATTTCCCACAATTGCCGCGAAATTAACATAAAGTAGGTATTTGCGATATGTCTAATGCAATAAAGGTTACCTAACGAAATACTGACGCTATTAGGTGACATCCAATTTTTTCGCAGTTATTTTAATGGCGCAACAGTTTTTAGAAAAGTATTTTTATGATATACTCGAACGGTAGGCACCGGCCTTCATTCAACTATTTATTATATAATTAGCGTTTTTCGATAATTCATCTTTGCCTGCGATATTTTGTACTACAACAAAAATAATAAAAGCTTCTATTTTCAAAGTCAATTATAGGCACAATAATAAAGTTGATTATTACTATATATAAATGGGTACTATACTCTCCTCGTCTGTCGCCTACCTTTACGATCTGACAAAACGCGAATAAACGAAACGAGGCATTTAATTGGCAGATCCTGTTTTCCGCAAAAATTATATAATCGCGAAAGAATTATGTTAATTGCCAGAAGAGAAATATTATACTAAATTGTCTACGACTAAAAATAAGCCATTATACGGTGAGTCATTCGCGCACCGGGTGACAGAAATGGACTAATGCAAATCACATACCCACCATTAAATAAACAAACATTACCTCATCCATATTGTCTCCGTATCTAAGCTCAAAATAAAACTATTTCCAACTACATTGCTATAATTTTGTTGTATTGTACACATTTTTAGTATCAAAGATCATGTGTATATTTAAAATTTGTATCTACTTTAATTTTTGCGATTATATTGCCATATTGAAATGGTACCAAAGTAAACAGTTTTTTTTAAAATACTGTTTCACATTGTATATATTTTATTCCGCACTGTGTATATTGTACCGAAATTGCAGTCGCCTCGGAGACGAGGATATTGACAGGGACAGTGCGTCATATTCTTGAAAGGGATAGGGTTAATTAAATTTTGTTAATCGTTTCATTACAGGTAAGTTATTAAATAAATAAAAGGTTTATTTATTATTTATTTATTATTTTTTTTATTTAGGATTATAATAAATTAAGTGATTTAACGGCAAGTACAAGCGGATATAAAGAACGGCCAACAACAATTTCAAGGGATTTCTGAAATTGATGACCGAATTTCCCATGTGGATTACAAGGTAGTGAGATGTATGATTTCAAATTTCAAACTACCGTTGGAGTATATAGAGACACTGTTCAAACGACAAGTACCATTGACATATATAGAGACACCGTTCGAAAGTATTTGGGGTTTTACAGTATAGTTGAATTCCGTAGTTCTAATGTAATAAGCGTATACCTGAACCATAAAACAATTTTTTTAGCAGTAAAAGTTTATTTAAAAATAGGGGCTGATTAGAAAAAAAAGTAATGAACATGTGCGGTATTAGGGGTTTATTTAAAACGAGATGATTGTGGCGGGATCTGTGACGTAATAAGCCCGACCAATCAGCTGCTAGAACCATTCAGATGACATACGACTTGGCAACATGGCAGGAGAATGTCATTTGTAACTTGTCGTTCACTTTCGCGTTAAATGTCAAATCCGACAAACGTCAGGCTCTGGCACAAGGTTGCCTGCTCACTTCTACGTGATTGGTTGTAGGTTTGTGACGTATTTGGACTGTAGCGTTTCAAATTCGGACTAAAAACACAGCTTTTCAATAATTTATTTTGGTTTTATTTTACTCGCAATTAAAATTTGGGGAAACACGAG